AGCTGGGATTATCAATTAACATTGCAGGTGGAAATAGATAATAGAATGCAATAGTTTAGTGGATCAAATTTGGGCAGAATAGAACTACATTCTTAAATCTCTTCCACTAAAAACACTGGGGCTTAAAACTTCTTTTAGAATAAATCATATTAAATGTACAGCGCAGGTGGCTAGATTCTGCATAGCAGCACTGGGGATTCGTCGCAAACACGTGTCTTCTCCACAGTGGGGAAATCTAAAAAAAAATTACTACCAGTTTCAGTGGGCATGGCTTGGTGGGAATCATGTGACTGGATGGGCATGGCTATGTAGTCATGTGACTGGGCAGTTCAAAATACAGAAACTCACTTTAACAATTGCTGGAGCAAGGGGTTAGACTAGATGACCTCCAGGTTCATTCCTGGATTGCTGCACTCTTTCAAGGTATCCTCTGAAGCTGCATCTAGTGCCAGGTTTGTGGTCCTTCCTCCCTTTCTTTGTTTCCCTCCCTNCCAGCACTATAGTTCAAAGGTCTCAATTCTTTGGCACTCAACCTTCCTTATGGTCCAACTTTCACAGCCATACATTGCAACTGGGAAAACCATAGTATTGACTATACACACTTTTGTTGGCAGGGTGATGTCCCTGCTTTTTACTATGCTGTCTAGATTTGCCACATCACAATACAGACATGTAAAAGATAGGTTGTATAATGATGTCACTGTAGTGGGGGTGCATGTCATCATAACTTAGTCCTACTTGCTGCATTTGCCAGTGTTTGCTAATTATTTACTGAGGCTTTCATGTGTGTTGGGATAAGTAACCTGTGACCATTTGCAAGACGCTTGTGACTACATTCCACACTGTGGCTGAGGATGTTCTGATGTGCCAAGACTCATGACTGCCTTCCCCATCAGATATGGTTGTTCCCTTACTCAGATTCCTTGATTTCTTTTTCATTCTCTCTCCATTCCCTTTTTAAAGATCTTGCTCTCCAAAAATGGTAAGGGCAGGGCCCTTAAAGGGAAACAGCTGAGGGAGGAATAGGGACAATTCCATTTTGCTGTCAACTTTCCCTGCGAAACCCATTACCAGGGAGCAAAGGGTTTCAATTTTCTGAATCTCTCTGTTGTCATATAATAGCATAGTTATCCAGATTGTTGAAGCTCAGTTCTGGTAACCCAGCATTAAACATTCAATCAAGATGAGCATGATTACAGCCAAGTAAGTGCATGGAAACATCCATGGAGTTTTCTTGGCAGTAGTTGAACTGGCAACTGTGCAACAGTTTTTTATTGTCTCTTCCAATAGCTTCTTTCCCTTCTCCCTCCCTCCCTCCTTTCCTACCTATATTCTGCCCAGAGGCAGAGAATAGATGGGGGTGGGGCCAGTCAGAGGTGGTATTTACAGGTTCTCTGAACTACTCAAAATTTCCACTATCGGTTCTGTAGAACTGGTCAGAACCTGCTGAATACCACCTCTGAAACAAATGCCTTTATTGTCACGAAAGGGGTGAATTTCAGGTAGGTCCGGGATAATAATTTGACCCTAACTACAACTGTGAATTCTATTAGCTGAGCTCTGAGATGAGAATAAGATTCAATTAATAATAAAGTACCACATGACTACAGATAACTCTGTTCTCACCAATAACATGTGCTAATGTGGCTTAGATCCTTAGGAAGATTCAATCAACACAATGCACTGAAAGGGGGATTTTATTTGGTTGGGAGATCTACAGGAAATCCAACAACAATAGAAATAGAAAAAAATAGGAATAGGAATAGGAATAGAATAGAATGGATATTTTACAGTATCCTTCCCCTGNTTTTTGGCCTAGAAGTCCTCAGGAAAGCCTCCTGGAAGTAAAAACGGACCCCAAATGCTACAAAGAAAAGTTTTAAAAAGTTCCTACCATCACACAGCACAGCTGATAGTCAGAACTTTTTTTTACTTTGTTAAGCATTTTTTTACTACTAGTTCAGGCAAACTGGCCCGAATCACTAGGATTTCACCCCTGCTTCTCCACCATAGTGATGTTATATAGCCGTGATGGCGAATCTATGGCATGCATGCCACAGGTGGCACGTGGAGCTATTTGTCAGGGCATGCGAGGCTTGCCCTGTTAGTTGACTTCGGCCTCTTTTTGAGGGCATTTTTCGCCCTCCAGAGGTTTCCCTGAAGCCCCTGGAGCATGAAAAACCGGCCCTGCGGGCAAACCAGAAATTTAAGGGCTTCCCTTAAAGGCTCCAGAGGGCAAAAAATGACACTACGAGCAAACCGGAAGTCACTTCCGGGTTGCTCATAGGGCCGGTTTTAGCCATCCAGACCGTTCAGGAGCCCTCAGGAGGCTTTCCTGAAGGCTCCGGAGGGCTAAAACCAGCCCTACGAGCAAACCGGAAGTCAGTTCCTGAACTTCCAGTTTGCCCGTAGGGCCGTTTTTTCGTGCTCCGGAGGCTTCAGGGAAACTATTTTCGCCCTCCCCAGGTGCCTATAAAGCGTCTGGGGCCTCGGGAGGGTGAAAAAAGCACGCCAAAAATGGTGGGGAGCGCTGGTCCTGCACGCATGCACACTGTGGTCATGCACATAGCATGGGTGTGGCATGCCCGTGCATGACCCCCCTGCGCTCCCCCCGCGTTTGGCACACGAGCCAAGAAAGGCTCGCCATCACTGTTATATAGCAATTGTGGCAAACCCTTTGCACTGTTAGTCATTTCCCTTTTAGCGTTGATCCTACAACAGGCCACACAGTTTAGGGATTGCAACTATCATATAGTCAGACCATGTATAATTGACACTGGATTTTATTGTAGATTTTAGTTGTTATTTATTATTTTATACTAGAATTTTAAGTGTATATATACTGAGTGCTTTTAATTGTTCTGGTCTCTGTAATAATAATATTAAATGTGAAACAAATAATCTTTTTAATGTACATTATGCAATATATGGAATGGATAAGATCTTTGAAGAAAGTGCTTTCACTTAGTAGCTCAGATCCTATAACACCTGATTTATCATCCTAAATTCCTAACTGACATTATAAAATTACAAATTAAAATACAGGAAGAAGATGAAATTGGGCACAGTTGAGAGAAAAGGTCTCCTTTATTATTCACTATCCAAAAGGTTAGGTTAAGAGGCTGCGCATCTTTCAGAGAGATGCAGTGGGTTGCATTCTTTTTTTAAAGAAAAAATATTTTCACATTTTTAAAATGTAGGAAGTATCATGGCCGATCAAAACTATTTCATACGTTCTGCAATGGGAATCATGTAAATCTGAAAGAAAGAAAAAAACTCAGGCCTAAAATCAAACATGATCTTCTGTAAGAATGCATGTTTATAATGGAACTTGAGGTCTTTTCAGCGTGTACATCTGAATTTAACATACCTGGCTACACTTCAACAAACACCGCAAATGGATTCAGCCACAATGCCTTTTTCAAACTGTCACATTCACATTCAGCAGACATAAGGCAGCTGATGACTCTTTCAGTCTGATGAGGCATAGATAATTCTCAGGAGCAAACAACCCAAAACAGTTCTGCTATCATTTGCAAAACATTATAGGAAAATGTATGCAAATCTCCATGCAAATTAGCCTTGAAAATGGCAGGATGAAAGCCTCCCCTTGCTGAGAGAGATTTACTTCCCCTACTGCTTTGCACTGATGCTCTCACAGTTCTGGTGGGTAAGAAAACAGACTATTGTCCGCTGAAGATTTTGTCTCCCCTGTCAAGTTACAAGTGAGGAGATGGATTGGCAGAAGCTCCACTTTGCAAGAAAAGAATCAGTGGATGGTTCTCTTGGAAAGAAATTGGCACATATCCACTCCTCTGCTCACAACAGAACCCCTTATGTCACCAGGCTCGAAATTTTGGGCTTGGAAAACCTGGAACTATGCCACTTATGGTCCGACCTAAGCATAGTACACAAAATTGTCTGCTACAACGTCCTACCTATCAAAGACTTCTTCAGCTTCAACCTCAATAATACGTGAGCAAAGAATAGACACAAACTCAAGGCAAACCGCTCCAAACTCGATCACAGAAAATACCACTTCAGCAACAGAGTGGTCAACACCCGGAATGCCTGGTATACCTGACTCCGTTGTTACATCCTCAAACCCCCACAGCTTCAACCTCAAACTGTCTACCGTGGACCTCACCCCACTCCTAAGAGGTCCGTAAAGGGGGCGTGCATAAGCGCACCAGTGTGCCTACCATCCCTGTCCTACTCTCCCCAATTATTTGTACTCATTTCAGGGGTGGGTTTCAACTGGTTTGCGGCGGTCCCTGCGAACC